TAAATCAGAAAATGAAAAATGAACACTACATAATTCAATACCACCCCCATCTATTATCCACTCAAATACTGCTATATGTACATTAGTGGTTTCACTACTAAACATTAAAGTGAGATCATGTTCAATTCTTTTATTTTTCTCCATTGGTANTAAAAATGCAATATTTTGAGTTTAAACTCACAATGATAGCTAAAACTTAAAAGCATGGCTTATCCTAAATTCGAGTCTTCTTGTTGTGGAGTTCATCTAATACTTATGACCAAAGATTGATTGTAGGTGTCTTTTTTATTTTTTAATCATTATTGATTATAGTTGTCGTTTGCACGAAGCGTCAGTTCAATACCACACTCGGCCTTTGGACCAAAGTGAAAAAAACTCATCGTTAAGGTGGGCTGGTAGGTTTTGAATCACAACCAAGTCGTCCACAAACTTAGTTGGACTAGTATTGGACCCCACAAATTCAGGACTAATAGGCCCAAGATTGTCATACCCACATAAGGCCCATAGACAAATATGTATAAACATCAAAATGAACTAATGTCATCAACACGATTCTAACTAGGGGAATTAGGGTTAGCAATCGAGATGTATCTTCATATTCAAATTATATTATTTTATCTTTGTATCCAATACTAGTCAGTTGTAAGTGAGAATTAGAAAATTCAATAATTAAATAGATTCGAAACTTAGTTTAATTATCAGTCTTAATTGCATTGCCAAAAAATTTTAAACTATGATAATTTACGGAGAAATAAATTTACAAAAAAAATTAAAATTTACAAAGAAATAAAGAGCACAGATAACTTTACCAATAGTCTAATTAACTTTTGTTTAGGAATATAATACAATAATCATAACCCGCACCAATAGTCTAACAATATTGAATCAACTCTTAAGCGAGCTGCATTTTTTTAGGCATATTGGGATCGGTTATTTTTGATATATCAATATTTGATACATGTATATTGTAAGTGATTATAAGAATCTCAAAAATAAATAAATTGCGTGTGATTGGAAGTTTCTGAGAACTACTTTCGTAGAAATAGATTCAAAAGGCAACATATAGAGGTTCCTCATCATAAAAAAAAAAGACAAAAAAAAACAAAGGAATCATGAGCGTTTAGGTCATCTTTGTCGTTATGGTGCACGGCTTACCATTTAGTAATGTCATTTACGTTGCAATGCAATTGTAAACCATTCTTGAGTGATTGTTTAATGTGATATAACAGTGATACTATATCGAAAAAGTCACGTGGCATCGTCATCAAATCACGAAAAATAAGTAGTGAATCCTACAAAACCCATTAACATCACATGTTGACATTTAATTGGAGAATGATAATGTCATTTAATTGGAGAATGATAATGTCACTTACGTAAAGACACAATTTACGCAACCATGTGTATATTTTAATCCTCTAAGTAAATATTCAATAAAACGTGAATACCGCGTTGTAGTATAACCATTCATCTAATAAATCAGAAAATGAAAAATGAACACTACATAATTCAATACCACCCCCATCTAATATCCACTCAAATACTGCTATATGTACATTAGTGGTTTCACTACTAAACATTAAAGTGAGATCATGTTCAATTCTTTTTTTTTTTCTCCATTGGTCNATTTTGAGTTTAAACTCACAATGATAGCTAAAACTTAAAAGCATGGCTTATCCTAAATTCGAGTCTTCTTGTTGTGGAGTTCATCTAATACTTATGACCAAAGATTGATTGTAGGTGTCTTTTTTATTTTTTAATCATTATTGATTATAGTTGTCGTTTGCACGAAGCGTCAGTTCAATACCACACTCGGCCTTTGGACCAAAGTGAAAAAAACTCATCGTTAAGGTGGGCTGGTAGGTTTTGAATCACAACCAAGTCGTCCACAAACTTAGTTGGACTAGTATTGGACCCCACAAATTCAGGACTAATAGGCCCAAGATTGTCATACCCACATAAGGCCCATAGACAAATATGTATAAACATCAAAATGAACTAATGTCATCAACACGATTCTAACTAGGGGAATTAGGGTTAGCAATCGAGATGTATCTTCATATTCAAATTATATTATTTTATCTTTGTATCCAATACTAGTCAGTTGTAAGTGAGAATTAGAAAATTCAATAATTAAATAGATTCGAAACTTAGTTTAATTATCAGTCTTAATTGCATTGCCAAAAAATTTTAAACTATGATAATTTACGGAGAAATAAATTTACAAAAAAAATTAAAATTTACAAAGAAATAAAGAGCACAGATAACTTTACCAATAGTCTAATTAACTTTTGTTTAGGAATATAATACAATAATCATAACCCGCACCAATAGTCTAACAATATTGAATCAACTCTTAAGCGAGCTGCATTTTTTTAGGCATATTGGGATCGGTTATTTTTGATATATCAATATTTGATACATGTATATTGTAAGTGATTATAAGAATCTCAAAAATAAATAAATTGCGTGTGATTGGAAGTTTCTGAGAACTACTTTCGTAGAAATAGATTCAAAAGGCAACATATAGAGGTTCCTCATCATAAAAAAAAAAGACAAAAAAAAACAAAGGAATCATGAGCGTTTAGGTCATCTTTGTCGTTATGGTGCACGGCTTACCATTTAGTAATGTCATTTACGTTGCAATGCAATTGTAAACCATTCTTGAGTGATTGTTTAATGTGATATAACAGTGATACTATATCGAAAAAGTCACGTGGCATCGTCATCAAATCACGAAAAATAAGTAGTGAATCCTACAAAACCCATTAACATCACATGTTGACATTTAATTGGAGAATGATAATGTCATTTAATTGGAGAATGATAATGTCACTTACGTAAAGACACAATTTACGCAACCATGTGTATATTTTAATCCTCTAAGTAAATATTCAATAAAACGTGAATACCGCGTTGTAGTATAACCATTCATCTAATAAATCAGAAAATGAAAAATGAACACTACATAATTCAATACCACCCCCATCTAATATCCACTCAAATACTGCTATATGTACATTAGTGGTTTCACTACTAAACATTAAAGTGAGATCATGTTCAATTCTTTTTTTTTTTCTCCATTGGTCTAGACTACCTACCATGCATTGAGATGGGATCCACTACATGTTAATCCTTCGCTCATTAATAGTGGATCAATCATTGTAAGAAAAAAGAAAGAAAAAAAGTACTTAGGAGATCTGGATTTGTCAACGTTTTATTGAATATTTTCTTCTAATATTAAGACAGACACTTGTGTTGATTCATGCATACATTTTATGACAGAAAAATTTTGCTGTCATATTCTTGCATGGAGACCAGCTGTTTCTTCTTTGTCGCGTGTGGGCAGTTTTTAGTTAAATGTGACCAAGGAACTGCATATGTAAGTAGAGAGTGAGTTTGGGAGTTTCTGGATGGGAATCCACTGCCTAGGGAACTTTGGAATCAATCTGCAATTTGATGTCACTTATCTTTGATTATATATTTTAAGATTGATCGGTTCAAATTATTAGAACTCGTCGTACACATCTTAGGTGTATAATCTCGGAAATGAACAATCTTTGACGATGGATAGTTATTCAGTAATGACACGTGAACTTTAAGGGGGTCTTATATCATTACTAGAAAGTTAAGAGGCATTATACGTAATTAATCGAGGCTTTTTTGTTAAGAGGACTTAAATGCGAAAACACTAATGCTATTAAAACATAATTGAAGGACATAATTTTTGGGACATAATAAGTTGTTACCAATGAAATGTTAGTGAAATACATTTAATGATGGGTCTCATTGTAATCTTAATAAATTTATTATCATATCATTTGTGACAACTCATTATGTCCTCAAATTATATCCATAAATTGTGTCTCAATAGCATTGTTCATGTGAAAAAGGGGTCTCCGAGTATTTTGTGAGGATCATTTGTGTTATATCATGCAAATGTAGGGATATCAGTCTAATCTAATTAGTGGATTGCAGACCTTGCTAGGCCCTCCCTTAGTTAACTAACAACATAATAATAATAATAATAATAATAATAATAACAACAACAACAACAACACTAATTAGAACATAATAGCTCTCTCTCCCCCTCTCCCCCCTCCGAAAAAAAAATAAAAAATTAGAACATAATAGTATGACCTAGTACTCTGACTTTAATATATCAGATCATATGATTCCAATAAAAGAATTCAACAGTTATAGTTACGATCAGACGATATCAACTAACACACCATCAAGTCACGTTTTCAAGTTAGATTATTGGGGCAAACTAGAACTGCTCTAATACTGTTCATATAAGTATAGATCATAGTTACCTGCTTGACTCTCAAGTAACAGTATAGATAAATCATGCATGTGTAAGCAGCTATGACCAGTCCATCAAGAGTCTATAAATTGTATATACCTCACACCAACATTAATTATTAAGATTGAACTTGTACAAGAAAATTGTTTTATTAAAGTTTGGGCATTGTGTTCCTTGAATTCTTGTTGGGTGAACGAATATGGAGGGCATCAATACACTAGAGTCCAAGCTGCATTGAAAGGAATAAGGGTAAGGAATAGTACTACGCAACAAAAACAGTATCTTCGTCCCGCACTCCGGCCACTTTTTCGTATCGTTTCTCTAACTTTTTATCCAATAAAAATGTATCATGTACAAAATTTTTGTAATTTATTATTTTCGTGGACTTTATCATTGTTTAACCAATCGTTGCAAACCATTCAAATCAAAACTAATGATTCAGAACAAATTTCAGCAGGATACCTCAGCGGCAGCGTTGTCTTGTCCCTTCATTATAATCAGCATCATGACCTTTATATAAGTCGGCCATATCCATGCACCCACATCAAAATTACAGTTTTTCTACTTCAACACATCAATGGCGATCCTTTCAACCATTTCTGGCCATGACAATTCATTTCTTCTCAAAAACTTCATTAGTACTGGTGTGAGAAACCCAAATAGAACTCCATATGGCCACCAAAAGTTTGTGACCATGAAAGTTCAGGCCGCCCATGTTGCACAGACATCTTTTTTGCAACCCATACAAGTTGAAGAACCCATGACCAAGCAATGGAACTTCCTGTTTCCTGAATATAATTTTTAAGAATTTATGCGAATGAAGGCAATGAGGGTGAACGAAGCATTAGATGATGCTGTCCCGTTGCATAAGTCGTTAATCATTCGTGAGGCAATGAGGTACTCACTTCTTGCTGGTGGGAAACGGGTTAGGCCAATCTTGTGCATAGCTGCTTGTGAATTGGTCGGAGGCGATGAGGCTCAGGCAGTCCCAATAGCTTGTGCTGTTGCGATGATCCACACCATGTCACTGATCCACGACGATCTTCCCAGCATGGACAACGATGATCTGCGACGAGGTAAGCCCACAAACCACAATGTTTTTGGTGAAGCAACTGCTGTTCTATCAGGTGACGCTCTCCTGTCGCTTGCTTTCGAGCATATAGCAGTTAGGACCACGAGTGTCTCACCAGGCCGAGTGGTTCAAGCCATTGCTGAGTTGGGTTCTGCAGTTGGCTCACAAGGCCTTGTGGCTGGGCAGATTGTAGACATCTGCAGCGAGGGAAAACAAGTGAACCTGAGTGAATTGGAGTACATTCATGACCACAAAACATCGAAGCTCCTAGAGGCTGCAGTGGTGTGTGGGGCTATCATGGGGGGGAGGGAATGTGATTGACTTGGAGAGGATGAGAAGTATGCTATCCGAAGCTGATGGGTCTAGACAAGGCTAAGAAGTTTGCCGGTGAGTTGTGGCTAAAGCCATGGAGGAGCTTTGCTACTTTGATGCTGCCTGAGGTGCACCATTATACTATTATTCCATGATTGTATATAAAAACTCAACACTATTGAAAACATAATCAGTTCCACTTATGCCATTAAAAGCTTTCAGTCCCCCAGCTCGCTTGATGGGGGTGTTCTGAGAAGGTTTTGTGTATTCGAGAGGATTGAAAAGTGCACGTAAAGTGTTTAATGGTAGTCGTGAGTGTCGAGACTGACGGTGTTATTTTCGCGGTCGACATTGTGAATTTCAGAGCAGGTTTGAAACAAAGGGAAATCTATAAAGTTCTCCATAGTTATGGGCCGAGCGGGCCAAATTTTAGCAGCCCAATGAAGGCCCGATATGTAGAACCAATTAACTCCGGCTTTTACACCGCTTGTGTTCCGATTGAACCGTTAATCTGAGACCCGATGGGGGAATTTTTTGGCCTTGGCTCAACCTGTGGGCTAAAAATTAGCCCAATCTTGGTTAGGTCACATGGGTTCGAGCCTCGATACTCATTATTTATGGATGATCAAATGCATCCAAAATTAGTATTGTAGTAACGAGCTGATAAATGCTTGAGACGATGCTCGATAATTCTTATTTTTTTTAAAAAAAAAAGATTAATTCATAGTGAAAAGCTTGAAGGGTTATAGATACTTGATTCACAAGATATTATGGGTCCTGAATGGATATCTTCGATCCAACTGTTGAGCAATTCACATAACTGCTGTCTTTAATATAGTGGATAAATATCATCCCATCATGCTAAATTTAATTTTCTACCGATATTTATGAGTGATGCATCTGAAATCAGTGTTGCTGCTGCGAGTTAAAGATTGTCTAAATTTTTAAAAAACAAAAAAAAAGAAAAGAAAAANGAAATGGTAAATTTCATCGCATCATGGTAAATTTTAGAGTAAATTACACTTACATCCCCTGAAAGATTACCTTTTTTTCCTTTGCCCCCTCAACTACCAAATTTTTATATTATACCCTCAACTATGTGATTAGTTTCACATTTGCCCCAATTATTAACATCTGTTACATATTTAATAGAAATTTATTTTATTTTACTCCCAAACTATGTAATTTTTTTTACTTTACTCTGACACGTCAACAATTTTCATCCAAAAAGATAACAAACGTTTGTGATTGGGGTAACGTGAAACAAAAGAGTTAGTTTAGGTTACAATGTGAGAAATTCAATAGTTGATGGGGGTTAAGTAAAAAATGGGTAATAGTTCAAGGGGGTGTAAGTGTAATTTACCCTAAATTTTATCTTTGGGTACACAAGGCCTTTATGGTCATCTGGAGGAGTTGGGACCCCTGTACCCAAAATCACTTGTAAACAACACATGTGGGTGTTAGATTGGGATAAGCCTATACAGCCCACAGTCCATTATTCTTCTTCTGCTTTTGCAATGACCAAAGCTGCCTGAACAACAGAGAGCACAAAATGTATGTCCTTTGCATTTGGGACCCTTAAATTATTGAAGCCAGGAAAGGAAGAAACAATGTTTTATCAGGTCTAAGATATGGACAACTAATGTTAATGGGGAACATGATACACATGGAGAAGATTGGATGCAATATCAAATGGTCCCCATCAAAAGCATGTGCCCTGCATGGTATCCAACTTTTCCAGCTAGATAGCAAGTAACCCTTAAATCAATTAGCTAGTGTGGAGCCATAAACTTGAATGTTTTGAATTCAATTATCACTGATAACAACTTGTGTTAAATGCATAAGCGGGTGATTATAGACATCTTGAATTTACTCTTTAGAGACGGTCTAATGTGACTTTATCTTGGAAAAGTTCACTATTACTCGAAGAAAAGGAAAAAGAAGAATCCATGATGGGTATGAGTGTCCAAGTCAAAATGAGATCGATTTGTTTTATACGTTCTTGTTTCGCTAGCGTTATGACATGTTATTATTTTCTTAGAAAACTATTTAATTTGGTGTTGCTTGGCAAGCTTTAATCAAAGTATTGGCTTGAATTTTTTTCCCCCGAAGTAGACTTGGATTTATTTGACACCAAAACCAATATTCAAAAAACAAAAGAGAAAAATGCACTATAATTTTTTAATCTTTGAAGGTGGATAGTTTTTTTTTTCTTATCATGCACAATTAGAGGAGAATGAAAAAATTCGAACCCATGACTTTAAAGTTCAAGAGCTGGGGCAGTAGCCATTAAATCAATTGAGAGTTCAAATTTTTGCAGAAGAAAAATTAATAGAAATTGATAAGCTTACTTTGACTTGAAAGCCAGGGGCAGCCCGACATAAATGAAGGTTCTAGGCAGAGATATTAATTAGATGAGGTCCTACTATTTTATAGGATAATGTTATAGATATGAGTCATATGACTAAATAATTATTAAAAAATAATACATATTCATTTGGAATTTATTTTTCTTATTTGTGAGATATAAAAATATTAATTTAATTTTTGTATAAAAATTTTTATGAATAAAAAGTTCATCATTAGTAGTACTTGAATTTGAATATCAAAATATACTTTAAGTGTTAACAATATAAAAAAAATTAAAATTTATGAATGCATCAAATTTGATTTTCATAAAACTGATTTAAGTAGAATTTTTGAACAATAAGTTATTCCTATGCGTTATATTTTTTTAGTCATTTTTTGTGTGGGAATGAACAATGCAATTGAAACCTAATTTACTAACATAATTTGTTGACCTAATTTACTGTAGACCCTATCAAACATTAGAACTTAGTGTTGATCCAATGATTCATATGAAACCACATCATTATGTCAGTAAATTAAATCAACATTTTAAATCTAAATAGTATTATTCGTAATTAAATAGTTGAGCAAAAAATTCAACCTAGATAAAAAGGGCCTCCAATTGTCTACTGTTCAGATACAACAACCCAAACAAGTCAAGACACTTGTTTCAGTTTTCTTCCTCAAATTTTATGTTTTGAACTTCTCGTTTACTACAAAAGCGACTGATTGTTACGATTTCAAAAGTTTGAAGAATAAAGTTTATCAGACAAATTGAAACTCCATTTAAAGCTTAAGTCATTGGCCAAAAGGATTTAATCATTTTTGGAATGGATAATGGATAAGGTTCTTAGTCCAAATGGTGACCACTGAACAACTAACTGCTAAAACTACAAGCAACTCAACTCAGCTATGATGTTATGCATGGTCATTGACTGCAAAATATTGTGTTGAACTTGATGTGTGGAGGAAATTGGAGATGCTAAAGCATACTCTACACTACAGGACCACCAGAAAAATCAAGCAATGATTAGCATTTTCTCCTCTCTTTTTTTTTGTGGGTATGTGAAAATTTATTTAATATTTAGAATAATTTTTTAAATAATTTAGAAAAAAAATAAACCCATCAAAAAAGTTAAAAAAAACACATGTTTGAAAAATAATCTACGTGGATCTAAATATGAATAATTTTTTAAGTACCAAATTAACTGCAGCCGTTGAATCAGTTATGTACCAAAACTACCACCAAATCAACTAGAACCCACCAAATATAATTTTGGCCCGTCACAATCATCTGGTGTTAATAACCTTGACCTCGATCAATCCAGAAGGCAGCCCATGTCATTCTGTTTATCATGACTATTGTGATTGACCAAAATTCCTTTCACCTTGTTCCGAGGATATTCCACTTTTCTAAGGTATATTTTCGTTGCATATTATGTCGAGTGTCGTCTTTTTATTGGATGATATTTACGTTTTCTCCGAATAGAACTTTCTATCGTATTCAATTTGTAAGACCATGCCACTAGCCTCCATTTGCAAGTGCTTATCCACGCAACGCTCCCAACTTACATCATAAAATGTATTCGGAGTTATGTATAGTAAGGAACAGAGTTAGGATTTTATAATATCAAACAAGAACAATGGCACAACCAAAAATTTATTCAATGATGTCATTTATATATTGGCATTAATATCAAGTTTTCATCGTATAAAGTAGAGACATGACCAAAATTTTGTCACGGAAGGGACTAAATACGAGACACACAAACTTAAATCATCAGCATAAACGATATTGATATTTTTCACATCTAAACTTACAATATATAAAAATAAAATTAATATAAACAAATATATTGTCACAAAAAGAGAGAGAATAATCCAAAGGAATAGTCTTTTATTTTTTATTCCCTCAACCATCTTTAAAAATGGTACCCGACATTCTTTTCTATCACAAAATTCTGTTATGATTATATTCGTATTGAATTTTATGAAAATATCTTGCTTATACATGCAATCAAAGAGTTCGTCAAAAGATTGTTCTGTGTCCTATTTTAAAATCTAGTTGGGCTATATTTATGGCCGACAAAGTCCAATTTATATGGTGATCGTAAGGAAATTTTGTTCAACTTATCTAAAATGGGGAGGTTATTGTCATTTCTTTCAAAAAAAGATGGTATTCTCACCGACAAAAAAAAAAAAAGAATAATATTACATGAATTTAAAAATTGACTAATATATAGTATTAGACTCCTAAAAATTAGCAATTACTCATAGCAAGTAGCAACTTGAATTTGTTCTAAGAACATCGTGATTAGGCCAACCAATATTGGCACAAGGCTAACCTACGCACCGAAATATTTGTCGAAAATGAATCTATTATATGGATTTGAAGAGTATACTTGATTATTATAAATATTGATTTCACTGTAGATTTTAGTATTTATTGAGACTCATTACATATTCAATGGTTATGATTATCAAGTCTATTCTTTAAGTTTATGTAACATTACTCTTACACATAATCAGATCAAAACAAATTATGATCCAATTTTGACTTAATAAATTTTATATTAGTTGAATTGGCTTTATTAGAATCCATCTTAAATTGTTACATTCTATGATACGAAGTCGTAACATTACGGTTCGTTTGAGTAAGATTATATCAAAATGAGGTTGTTTGAAGTCTAATACTAAGATTGACTCTAAAAATTACTGTAATCATTTCTAATTTATAGAAAACATAAGATTCAAACGTTAACGTTATAAGTTGAAAGTTTTACGTTCAATTTTTTAATTTCCTAGATATTTTATAGAAATTGACCTTAAACTCATGAACTTAAGCAAATATTGCAATAATCTCCTCACCTAATAAAATAAAGAAAAAAGAAGAAAGAAAAGTCACATAGATACAGATGGGCATTTGAGTCATTGACCACCCACCTCTAAAGAAAAGCAGAAAAGAGGAAAATTAACAGGGCAAAAAAAAATAAAAAAATAAAATGAAAGTCCTTAAAGTCCAAACAGTGGATACGATAATAAAAAAGTAAAAATAAAAAATAATAATAAAAAGGCTGACTTATTGGAGAGATAAAAAGTAAAAGACAAGGATTTGACTCCTTTGGATCTGTCTCTCTCTCTCTGTCTCTCACTGTCTCTCACACTACAACGCAGCAGCAAAGCACTTCATGTGGTGCCAGTTACTGAGTTGACTCAATCTTTTGCTGAGGCCCAGCATATACCGAGTTGACTCAACCAGACTCGTCAGGGCTGAGTTGCCAAGCCGAGGTGGAAATGAGAGGCCGAGTGTGCCAACCCAGCATGAGACACCCATCATTCTCCTCTACTTTGTACCCATCTCCACCAGCAAACAATGCCAACAACATACTAGCCTGCCTAAAAGCGTTAGACCCCAGATGCACCGGGTCAAACCCGACCGAGTTCATCCTAACCCTCCACTGACTCAGCTTCTCATGCCGCTCAACTCGTTCACCTCCCTCACAAGCCAAAACATTACAAATCTGCCGCCCCAAAAACACCTCCGACATCACCAAGTCCTGAGTGTTCAACTGAGTCAACCCGGAACTCTCCAACGAGTCAAACATAGTGGAGTAATAATGCAAAGCCTCATTAAACCTGTCCGAAAAAACATTCCCATTGTGATTGGCTTCTTGCTCAACCAACGTCACAATTTTGGGTCTCACGGCCTTAATTGAATTCAAAACTTTCTCGATCGCCCCGGGCCGGGCCAATAATCGATGAAGTTCAAAAATTGAGTTCACTGCCACTGATTCGATGCCACTCGGCCGAATATCGAGCGTTGAAGCATCGAAATCGGCCAAGGAATTGGCGATGAAGCGGAATTCAAATTCGACGCCAATTATCTCTGCAAATTGTGCTAATTTCCACCCAACTTGCTGTAAAGCATCAGCGTTGTCGGGCTGTGGCAGACCAATCCCGGTGAGTCGAAACGCAGGTGGCCCGCCGGGCCGTAAGGCCAGTGCTTGCATAAGCGCTGGCCATTGCATACCCTCATTCAAACTGAAATCGATAACGTGAACCTTTCTGGCCCCCGAAAATGCCTCGAGAATCGCTTGATTGGCCGTGAAATGAGCGAATTTGAGGTACGGACAGGTCTCGTAGAAATGCATCTGTAAAATATTAGAATATGAAGATTCAAGAGATTCTTGTGGGTAAATCTTGTAAATCCTCCGAGCAAGAGCTTCGGCGAAATAGGTGGCGACTTTCCCCATAGCGCCGCCTTGCGCGGCCGCCAACAACCTTATGTGCTTCACCAGAGTGTCGGCGACTTTCAGGTTGTCTTGTTGAACCGCCTCCGCACAAGCCATCAAGGTGTGGACGAGTCGAACACCGGCCTCTTGTGAGTCAATAAGCACCACCGGCCGAGTTGACTCAGACGTAGCTCCGGCATCAAATTCAGACCCGATTGAAGATTTCATTCTCTTGATTCCACCTTTGGTATCCGATTCCGGTGGGTTAAAAATCGCTTCGCCGGGGATTGCTCTCAGATCATCGTCGTATATCTTTGGGTTCTGATCATTCGGGTTAATCCTTGAAAAATCAAAAATATCAACACTTCTTGAGGATTCCCCAACATGATTGAGCCCAGAGAGCATGCTCTGAACCCACCCAGAAAGATCAGAAGGGTTGTAATGAATTTTCTCAGTTGAAAGATAGGATAATCCATCTTCCATACCAGTACCCATTACCATCTCCAGTTGTTCAAGTTTCTGCGCAACATCAGCCATGTCTGACAACCGGACTTTGTAACCCAAAACAGCCAGAAGCTCATCATTCCCGGCGTCCGGTGGTTCTTCTCCCCACATCTTCGCCTTTCCTGCTGTCGCAGGCGCCGTTGATGAACTTTCTGCCTTTCCTCGATCACGATCTCTCTTCATTTTTGTTCAAATGGGTATGCAGATATTGACTGTAAACGTGCAATTGATTCAAAAAACTAACTTGGATCAGCACAAGTGGATGAGTTTTCAAGTAGTTAAATCTGCTCGATCTTCTTGGTTTTTTGCAACACTTTTTTTTTCCCACTCACTAATCTTCATTTTTTGTCTAAGAAGAAGGGAAGAACTGGTGAGAGCGCAAGCTTCAAGAGAGGAACATGGAGGGGAACCGGAGGAGATAAGTAAGAGAAAAGCGCAGCCATAATAATTATGTTTTTTTTTTCAAAATTTTTAAATTTTTTTGGATGTTAGTGTGGGATCTTTTAATATTATCGAAAAAATATTTTTTTAATATTTTGTTAAAAATAATTTTAACTCGTGAATTTAAATTTAAATTATTGAAATTTTTGTATTTTATGCTCTAAAGAATTTTAATATTCTCATTTGTATTTTTAAAGATTAAATTTTTTATATTACATCATCAATATATTAAAATTGTTGTAATATGGTCTTTCTAGTAAGTTTTGTGATTTTTTTTGTCAAAAGTTATTTCATTTACACTAGAGGTGCAACTCGGGTGGGTTGGGCGGGCTGAAGGGTTAGCCCTAGCCTAACCCTACATATATAATATTTAACCCGAGCTCGATCTCGAACCCGATTTCAACCTGAGGTACTCAACCCGAACACTGCCCAAATTGAATTTGGGTTTAAATTCGTGTTACAAATCAAGAAAAAAAAAATTAGATAACTCCATCAAAACACAACACAAAGAAATTATACCAAAAAATCCAAAGTATCATAGTCATCCCATTGCCACCACAACCACTATTCATAGTCATTGCCATTGTCACTGCCACCACAATTACTATGCATAGCCATCGCCACTACCACCACAACCACTTTCCATCGCCGCAACAACCATCGTGTCGCTGCCCACACAACCACCACACCACATACGTTTCCCACACAGTCGCCACACCATAGCCACCAAATTTGACCGTCGTTGTGGTCATCGGTGCCATAGCTACTAGATCTCCACTAGATCGAGATGCAAAAGCCACTAAGATTTGACCATCGTTGTTGGCGAGATTCTAGGTGGCTCTTTAGCCCCCGGGTTGACACGTGGAATAATGAAGTCGTTGGGATGTCCAAAGGGTGCCAAGGAGGTAAGCCGAGGTATGGTGACTCGGAGCAGCCGAGTACGACAGTTGGCATCATATTCAATGTGATATGACCCCACATTTTATGATGAAATGAGTGATAGTAATAAATATGTGCCTGCCAGCACCTGCCTTCTGGGAGTCTAAGCCTACTGTCATGATGGCTAAGCATTATGGCTGATACGCCGAGACGACGCAAGCAGATCTCCTGAGAAACTGTTCCCCCCGAGTATTCAATGCTCAGTTAATGCCAGATACCGATCTAGGGGATTTGGGTACTCGGGGCGTGGCATAAATGCTCGGCACATGGCCGAGCATTACCCCATTTTTCTAGCATTCAATAGGAGGAGACGTGAATAGAAAACACTCATTGCACGATGATTGGTGTGTCAGATGTGAGATGTCCAGATGGGACTGGAGATCTTTGACAATTATTGCTAATTCAGGTATAAATACTCATCAGAAAAATAGACAAAGATACGCAAACTCGAACCAGAAAAATAGTCCATTAAGCAAAATCCTTCGATCTTATATTGACTTAAGCTTCGGAGAGGCTTAGTCGGGTACACGTCTGGCCCCCTTTTTTTTGACCCTGTTATTTCAGGTTCGCTAGCTGGGAGATCACTGCCTCATACGATTGCAGGAATTATCCCATGCAATTTGGCGCTGTCTGTGGGAACGAAAGCATATTTCCCGGTAGCGATCGTCTGATGGTGAACACTCGATCTCAGGGTGAGAGAGCAGGTGTACGGGCCAGGAACGCAGAGCCTGTCCGGCTTCCAATGGTTCTGGAGCCGGGTTCATTGGGCCAATCAGATGGGGTGGAGCATTCTTTGCAAAGAACGCTCTCTATGAATTAGGGTCTTGAGGGGCGTGACCTCATGACCCATGACATCATGGAGATGGTGGAAAAGCGGATGGACAAACGCATTAAGCAGCTTGAAAGGGAAAACGTCAAAGTCCAGCAATGCCTTGACGATTTTGAGCAGTCAACAAGCGCGGGTAAGCATAGTCACGGGGTCGGGGACCAAGTGCCCAGCCAGAACCTGTCCAGACCCCCCTGGCATTGGCCCTCCAGGAAAGATTGGGTTAGGCACTCACCCGAGGGACATGACTGTCGAGGAGGGTTCTCGGCCTCCAAGGGAAAGTCGAAATCGGGTCGGAAGGCAAGCTTGTCCAGGTGGGACCTGCGCCGAGGGATACCTGAGGTTGTCGGAGCCGCCGAATCTCAAGTGGAGTCCATACTCCGAAGGTCTCGAGGGGAAAGATCAACCAAGGATCCCCGGGTCCCCTTTATCGCTCAGCGCAACCATGAGCCCGCAGTCTACTCCGACGAAATTATCTCGTCGTTCATCCGGGCTATCAGGGAGGCTGAGATGTCGAAGAAGTTTATCGTTTCACGGTTCAAAGTCTATGACGGGAAAATTGATCCCGAGAGCCACCTTCGGCAATACAGACAATTGATGTCAATCTACGATACTGACCAAAAGGTGTTGTGTCGAGTTTTTCCTATGAGCGTAGGGGACACCGGCATGAGGTGGTATGAGAACCTTGTGCTACAACTTTAAAATTGATCACCCAAGTGCAGGTTGTACAAAGTAATAAATTTCTCGGGAGTCCGAGATCGAACCATAGGGAATTGAAAAAATAAGAGACACAAAACAAATAAAAAGCAAACTTGTAAGAACAATTTATTTAAGATATTATTGAGTTGAGAACATATTGGTTGGAGTAATTAAAATAATATAATAAAAATACTAGAGCATCAAGTACTACCTCTCAATTTCATACAATAATGATTAAAGACTCAAAACTTAACTTGGAACAAGAATCAGATGTCAGTTGATTCGAATAACAAAT